TAGGCAAGCACCAAAGTGACTTGGGGAGAGGGTAGAATTACAATACTGGGGTATCTGGAATCCAAAAGTCCCTAGATGTTTGCAAATACAAAGGTGTTTACAGCCTAAGGGGGGAAACTTGTATATTTAGAACAAATCATTGTGCAAGCACTACAACACGAGTTCCATGACATTTGTTCATCTAATTTACCGCTGTATTCCATACTGGGCCTGAAACATAGTAGACACGTAATAAATATGGTGAATTAGTAAATGCAATAGAGGTCTGAGTCATGCTAGAAGACCAGGAGGGAGCAATGAATGAATTCTGAATGTGGGATCTTAGAAAGCTTAGCAGAGGAGAGAAAGTTTAGAAGCTGGCCCTTGAAGGAAAACTAGGAGCCCAACAAACAAAGAAGAAAGAGAAGGGCCCTCCAGTATGAAGTAGGAGACAAGCGCAAGACCAGCAGAGCAGCAAAACGCAGGGACACCTCAGGGCATGCACAGTCTGGTCTGTGGACTGAGGATCAGTATAAAGAAATAGCGTGTTAGAAAGAAACAGCAATACCAGGAAGTGAATGTGTGTTTTATCAGGTAAAAGAGTTCTGATTGAGCACTCACACTGTGCCCAACACTGTTTTAAATGCTGCCCATGTGGTAACTCATTTAATACCACAGAAACCTTGTAAGAGAAGCACTATTATTCCCCATTTTACAAGTGAAGAAACTCAGGCACAGAGAGGCCAAGTACAACCAAGTAATACAGCTAGTAAGTCACAGAGCCAGTGTCCTGGGTACCATTGGTATAATTCAAACATTTTGAATAGCTGAGTGACATATGATTTGTGTTGCTACTACATTTTTCTTTCACAAATAATAAACATAATTTAAGTCAAATTTAGAAAGTAAGCATCATGAATATTAACAGCTCCTCATCCGTATTTAGGAGTTCTAAATAGTCATATGTATTCATTTCCATTTTGTTTTCTTCATTCAGTGATATTACTACCTCCCAAAATTATTGGCTTAAGGATTGGTTTCCTGGTGATTAATCTACATAACATAGAACAATCTATATAATATAGTACAATTGCATTTATTTTGTCAAATTCCATAAAATATTTAACTAAAATGTTCTAATATTCTTGAGCTCTGGAAATGATAGAACCTTTTTGTTTTTTATGAAATCACTTTGCCTCTCTCTTCTCTTTGTAACTTTGAACTTCATCCAGAGACAGTTGTTGATGGCAGCCAATTTGTCATCATACAGGTTATATTCATGTTTTGTCATCATCCTGGAGAAATATTTTCTGCCTCAAAAAAATGTTTCAATCTTCTATTAAATATGCTCTTTTTTTAATAGCAGGTCTTTCAACTATCAATTCATTCTCATGAAACTTTTACTTACCCTTTCCAAATACTTATATAAGATAAAAATTAGCAAATCATGAAAATATATTCAAAGAATCTAAGTTTAGTTCAATATCAACATTACAATATATCAGCACTGGAGAACAGCATCTAATATGATCTAATTGCTTTACTCAAGGGAGCTTTCATTAGCTCCAATAAATAACAGCTCTTTAACCTCATTGAAATCTTCAATGGTCCATGTTTCAATTTTTAAAGTTTTTTAGTTTATTTTCTCTGAAATCCTTGGAAAAGACACAGACTTTGTCATTGTGGCCTGTCTTATAAATATGCTTGGACCCGGGGAACTGTAAGTTCCTGTTCTCAGAGATCTTGCTCCCACATCTCTAGCAATAACGTAGGGTAGGGACACAGGCACAAGATTCTGATCCCTGCTCAAGCAATAGTATTATCACAAGGGATCCTCCGTGGTTGGCTTTATGTAAACTAGAGGAACACAACAGGCTAAGGTATCTGATACTCATGTAATACAAGAAACCAGAGAAAGGTGGAGAATGTTTACCCTAAGTAGAAAACTGCCTAACATAGGGAAAATATAAGGAACTACCTCAGACAGTACTTGTAACTAGGTCTTTATTATACCAGAGGACAGAAATAGGACTAATATGTGGAAGCCTTTGGAAGGTAATTTTCAGGTAAAAGGAAAGAATTATTTAAACATAGGCAGAAATGGAACAAAATGCTTCCTAGAGGAAGGAGGCAGCCATTTGTAGAGTATTTGCCTTGGGTTCCCTCTGGCAGAGAGACACTAAAAACAAGGTGCTTATATAATTTATTTTTCTAACAGGGACACATTTGAGAATGAAAGATAACAGCAACAAACCTGGATTTCTAAGCAAACCCAAGTCTCATGACACCTAATTCACCCTAATTGTTGACTGCCAGCTATGTGGACATGTTGGAAAATGTTCTCTGTACAAA